ACACATATGTAGCCTATATGTTTAAATAATGGCGTACGGGAGCATTATTTGTTTTAGAAATATTTTTTTTAATACAATATTTTTTTTAAAACTTATAAAATAAACCGGGAGTGATCTCCCCTAAACTTTCTCGAATACTCTTATTAAACAAGTTAATAAAAAGTCTAGTGACAATTTAAGCGCAATTTGCTTAATTAATTTTTTGTGACCGAACGAAAGGATATTTTTGAAAACTTTCTTCGGCAATATTGTTCTAAATTATGGCAGGAATCGATTGGCAAATGTTTTAAGTCGCTAAGTAGTCTGGTTGCCGAGATATGGGGTTTTTAATAGATTTTTTGGCTTTTCCGGGAAATCCAGGAAGGAATTCGGGAATTTTTTGGCCCACAATCATCCTCGGAACTTGCTTAACATATTTGCTTTTGGAAGTAGTCCTCGATATTGCTTCGTTGAGGAGGAGATACGACTTAAAGCTGCGCACATCCATCCATCCATCCATCCAGAAATAACGAGTTAATAATCGCAATTGTCCAGTATGGAAATTGCGCTAAAAAACAGGGGTGGGAACTCGGGATATAGACATACATTTTAATCCATTTTAAATACTTAAACTTTTTAAAATAGAATAAAATCTCGTAGAAAAAAGAATTACACACCAAGTGAACGCTAAATAAAATGTGCATAATAGTGCGGAATATTATTAGTACTTTATAAATGTACATTCATATGCGCTTTTTGAGAAATCGGAAATAGCGTAAATTACTACTTCCGGTCAACGGAAATTACTCAAAATTTGACAGAAGGTAGAGAATTAGATCTTTTACTTACATGTGAAATTTCATTTATCTATCTGAATTAGTACTCAAGTTATAGGCTTTTGAAAAATTCAAAGTAGAAAAAGTCCCGATTCCGGTTATCGGAAATCGCTCAAAAGTTGATACGGATCTACGATTTTGATAACATACTTATATATAAAATTTCATCAACCTAGCTGTAACTTTACTCAAGTTATCGTGTTTACACACACACAGACACAGACACACAGACACACAGACACACAGACACACAGACACACAGACATACAGACATACGGACAAGATTGCAAAATTATGTTTTTCCGTATCAGTGAGGTGTAAAACGTCGAGATTTGTAAAAATCTCGATTATTTTTTTTTTGCACAATTACAAGACTTTCTCTATATTTCGTATATACGAGAAAGTAAAAAAGAACAAACATATCGCAAGACGTAGTAATTAATTTTGTTGAAAGTCTGAGTTATTGCTAAAGTTCCAATATAATAATATGTTAGTTAGAAGGATGGGAGGGGGAGGGGGGTTGAGGTTAATATTCTCCATTGCATCACGTGATACGTTTATATTACAGTTTACCCATCACAAAAATTTGCTTAAAACTCAGCCAGTTTTTGTCAAATTTAACAATCATGCAAATTATAGAGGCAATTAATTTGCAAATAGTTGGTGTGTTTTCAAACTTCTCATAATGAAATCGATAAAAAAATTGATAAAATTCCGGAAATCTTGTTTACTGCATGTCTCTTGTTTACACCCACGCGGGGCATCTGCCCATAAAAACAAAAGATTTAACTAAGAGTCAGACATCACCTTGCAAAAAAAAAAAAAAATTAATAAAAAAAAATAATGCACGAAAACATTTTTTTAAAGGAAATATTCCCTAAGATGACAACAAAAGATGTTGACAAACCTCGGGTGAAACGTGATATGTGACCTTGGCCGTGACCTTACCTTTACGCGGATGGACCCCTCCCCCTCACACCCTCCACACCCAAACCCCCACCCTGACTAGGTTGGTGGTTGTAACTAAAGCCACGCTTGACTAGTACAAAAAACAAACAACATCAACATTTTGACACGTACGGTTTTATTTTATGAACACGTTACTTGTTTGTGTTCGAACCTCGAGGTTCGTATTTTCTTGTAGAAAGCGGTGCCAAATATTAAGATGGCTGCTGAAGTCAGAAAGTTGACTTAAAGTCGCACTTGACTTGACTTCTGCCCCCGAGTGGGAAGATTAAAAAAAAAATTAACTGCCAGTTCACACAACTCTGACAACCTACACGGAGTTACGGGACCTGAAATTTTTTTAAAGAGAAAATAAACAACAAAAAAACGATAAAATTAATCCAATGGAATTCTTTTCTCACTAGCGATCAATGGGGTGTGTCAGATGTCATACAAGTTACGTCACTCGTGGCGTATGTGTCAGAAGCTATACTTGAATGACAGGAGGCTTCTAACGACAAACAATTCTTGGAACTGGCCAGTAGGATGTGAATAAAACCGGATGTCATATCGCTGTTGTTCACTCATCCGCGAGCTAAAATAGTGCCTAGTCGAGATTATTTAATAACGGTGTTAAAAAATGCGATTGTAACATACAAAGAGAAATTTTACGCGTGACTTAAAATCAGAGGGGTTCTGTGCAGTCCTCAGAGTAATGTACCCTGGTACAAGTCACGCACCATTGGTTGCCCTTGGGTTTGTCGGAGTTGCGTGCCTTTGGTTGAGTTACGTCCCTGCTTAACCAGCTGCTGATGGAAGGGAGACAACTCTGAGCTAACTTAAAATGGCGAAAGTCAAGGGAAGGAACTTGGTTTTTGTTGGGAAAGTTGAATAGGGGAGCTAAGCATGAAACTTGAAGGAGAATTTGTTTTGTACCCAACTACCGTGGAGAGGGTACAGACACACAAGACACACAATAAAATCGTGTTTTTGTTGCACTAAATAGTTTGGTTAATGTAAAGCCATAGGACGTTTTACCATCAATTGGATTGTTGATATGTCAACTAGACTGTACCCAGCTTTGTATTTCATCCAGTTTATATGACCCGTGTCCAGCCGAATGGACCCGTTTATTCAGTCTATTTCACGTTATTTTCAGTCTATTTCACGTTTATGTCAGTCTATTCAATCTATATTGGGTGTATTTAACCTGCGCTCATTATGTTTGCTGATTATCTTATGGGCCCATTTCCAGTCTAACTGACCCGTCCAGTCTACGCGACCCATGTCCCTTTGGCTGATGTATACAAGATGTACACAAGCCACACACGATGTACACACGATGTACACAAAACACAAGTACACGTAGCCTATTGCTTGCTGGGGGTCTCAGGCTAAAAATAGAACCGATTCTTGGAATCGCCCGGTAAAAGAAGCGCCCCAGAGGCAGCGAACCGTGACGTGAAAAAACAACGGACACTTGAGGTACCCCTACCCCCGTCCCTGCACTCGTAGGGGCAAACCCCGGGTGACGTCATCACGGGCGGCGGCGGTTTCGTTATGACGAGACGCCCGGTCAGTGTGACGTCACTGGTGGTGTTGCGTTTGACCGTTGGTTGTTTTAGCCAGGGTCACTGTGACATGGTGATGTCCTGACCACTGTGACCTTGACCGACATGTCCTTACCTTGTGAATCGACTTTCTTCCAGCCAACAAATACGTCATACATCCGTCGTCGGGTGGGGACCCCTGGCTGAGGTCTTTAGGGACCTATAGATTAGGTCACATGGGACCCATGATTAAGGTCTTTAGGGACCTATAGCTGAGGTCACATGGGACCCATGATTAAGGTCTTTAGGGACCTATAGCTGAGGTCACATGGGACCCATGATTAAGGTCTTTAGGGACCTATAGCTGAGGTCACATGGGACCCATGATGGAGGTCTTTAGGGACCTATAGATTAGGTCACATGGGACAAATGATTGAGGTCTTTAGGGACCTATAACTCAAAAAACAAATTAATTTGGCTCTTCGCCCGTATTTTAACCCTAACCCTAACCCTTACCTTAACCGTAACCCTATCAGTATGTGGAGGAGCGGTGTGGTCAAGCGGTATAGCGCGTGAGTGCTGAGGGTCACAAGTTCAGTCCCCAGTCTAGAGATTGTGTACGCCAAATTGAAAGTTTGTCCCCGGGCGCCGGGAGGGGTCCCTACGCCTCTGTGTCAATGACCTTCTAAAGTACGTATGCGGAGAACGTAGGCATACAGAAAGTGCCAAGCTACATTAGGTCACGTGGTAGAGACAGTGCCAGACATCTTCAGATTCCAGAACATGCAGATAGTCTGGGCGGGTCGCGAGGTCACGTGGTACAGAGAAGTAATACAACAGATACAACTTTCACAATGCGAGATGTGTCACGTGGTATAGAGAAGTGATACAAGAGATACAACTTTCACAATGCGAGATGCATCACGTGGTCCCAACATTCATTTGAGGTCAGTTTCTTCTGGGTTCAGGGATTTCGAAAGTGGGGGAATTGTGTGAGTGGGCACAGGTCACGTGACATCGATCTGTGAGGGTCGAACTCCCCCCCCCCCCCCCCACACCCACACAAGGTTTCATATTTCATTGACGGCAACCTTACGACCTGTCGCAGTCGTCTGTTAACGGGGACAAAGTTTTTCTCAAGTCGATGTTGGGGGGGGGGGGGGGGGGGTTCTTACGGTAATATTCGTGTGATGCTGGGCCAGGGGTCCTGGGAGGGGGGGGCGGCAGGGAGCGAGGGCGTCGGTGTGGGAGGGTGGCGTCAGGTTTTTTGGGCGTGACTCAAAGATCGAATTTCTAAATTACACGCTTGAGTGAGCAGAGATTTCTAGAAGAAACTGGGGGTGGGCGTGGCGTCACATTACGTCATGTCACGTGATCAAATCGTTCAACAGTTGGTTTTTTTTTTGAGTGAGTGGAAAGATCGGATGGATTTTAAAATGTGAATTTTGGAAGCTTTGATAAATTGATGATCATTAATTGAACAAAGACAAATTTCTATCACATTTCTGATACTAGCAAAAGTAACTATCGCATCATTTCAATATAAGTTTTGTAACAAGTGCATTTTTTTAAAGGACGAAAGGTCATATAAATGTTTCGTATTGTGCACTTCATAAAATTTCTTAAGTGATGTTGAAGAGTCAAACGTTTTTCAATGATAACATTTTTTTTTAAATTTTATTATAGGGACTTAAAAGTTTTTTTTTACTGATGAAATCGAGGGTGGCAGGGTGGTGGCAGGGTGGTGGCAGGGTGGCAGGGTGGTGGCAGGGTGGCAGGGTGGTGGCAGGGTGGTGGCAGGGTGGTGGCAGGGTGGTGGCTGGGTGGTGGCATGTTGGTGGCATGTTGGTGGCAGGGTGGTGGCAGGTTGGTGGCAGGGTGGCGGCAGGATGGCGGCAGGGTGGTGGCAGGGTGGTGGCAGGGTGGTGGCAGGGTGGTGGCAGGGTGGTGGCAGGTTGGTGGCAGGATGGTGGCAGGGTGGTGGCAGGTTGGTGGCAGGGTGGTGGCAGGTTGGTGGCAGGGTGGTGGCAGGATGGTGGCAGGATGGTGGCAGGGTGGCAGGGTGGTGGCAGGATGGTGGCAGGGTGGTGGCAGGGTGGTGGCTGGGTGGTGGCATGTTGGTGGCAGGGTGGTGGCAGGGTGGTGGCAGGTTGGTGGCAGGGTGGTGGCAGGATGGTGGCAGGATGGTGGCAGGGTGGTGGCAGGTTGGTGGCAGGATGGTGGCAGGGTGGCAGGGTGGTGGCAGGATGGTGGCAGGATGGTGGCAGGGTGGCAGGGTGGTGGCAGGATGGTGGCAGGGTGGTGGCAGGGTGGTGGCAGGATGGTGGCAGGATGGTGGCAGGATGGTGGCAGGTTGGCAGGGTGGTGGCAGGATGGTGGCAGGATGGTGGCAGGGTGGCAGGGTGGTGGCAGGATGGTGGCAGGGTGGTGGCAGGGTGGTGGCAGGTTGGTGGCAGGGTGGTGGCAGGGTGGTGGCAGGGTGGTGGCAGGGTGGTGGCAGGGTGGTGGCAGGATGGTGGCAGGGTGGTGGCAGAGTGGTGGCAGGATGGTGGCAGGGTGGTGGCAGGGTGGCAGGGTGGTGGCAGGGTGGCAGGGTGGTGGCAGGGTGGCAGGAATATGCCATCATATTCTAATAGCCAATCACTATGGGAGGGTTATGTCGATTTGATGACGTAGATGTTAGCTGAAGATATGAGAAAAATGATTGAAAGAAACACAAAAGATTTGAATAAAGTATTGCAAGATTTATGAAGGACAAATTGAGTTTTATGAACTGCGGCTCTTATTTAAACCGGCTGTGTTTAACCTGTATATCTTAAGTGAACGATAAAAAACAGTCGAAGGCAAATATGTCGCTTCAAACTATAAGTAAGCGATCAAACCAACCTTTTCTTTTTTTACAAGCTTTTATTTTACTTGCTTCCTCTGTCTGTCGTTCTTTTGTAGTGCTTCGTCCTTCATGAATCGTAACTGGCGAGCAAAATTTCGACCACTTTTAACCGACCAATTTATTTGAAACTTGTCACATGGGTCAAGGCCCGATGACAATAAAATCTGTCATCAAATTTAACTTAATTCGATGCTTAATTGGATGCTTAATTACCTTTTAAAATATTAATTAAAATTTCCTATATAAAGTACATTTTACCGCGCTATCATACGTCCATTTTTCGTGTTCATTAGGTGCGCCATTGTTTTTAGTCATGCAACTCTATTAAAATTTTAAAGTTCTGAAATAAATGCATAAAAAAAAACGTTTCAGCCCAAATGTTAATAATAATTTGTTCAAATCATCCAGTATTGACTAGTAAGATTAGACTTGTATCAATAATTTTTATCGACTATCTAGATCAATCCATATTATATTAATGACTTGATAGCAATCAAAACAGAAAGCAAACAGACATTCTCTCGGGGGGGGGGGGGGGGGCACTTGAGATTTTCGGGGGGGGGGGGGGGGGGGGGGGAAAGGGCGGACTAAAATTTCCGGGAGGCGGACACTGTTAAAAGTATGTATTTTCTATATGAATTCCATTTCGTTCGGGAGGGGGGGGGCGGTTGACTTTCTTCGTGGGGGGGGGGGGCAGAGCCTGGAAGAAACTCTGAAAGCAAAGACATACGACGACAGGCTGTACTCATCATATGAGAGCAGGTGGTGTAGAGTTCATCTGATTCAATTTCCTCGGCAAAAGGCTATACTGAATTCCGTAAACATTGTCGCATTTTACCTTGTCTGAAATTGTCTGAAATTCTGAAATTGTCTGAAATTATCAATTTCCAATTGAAATCATTGAGAGAAACAGAGAGAACAATACAGTGAAAGTGGAAGCGTGTAGGTACTTGTCAGTTAACATTTTAATATAACTAAAAGACCACGACAATCAGATGCCAGTATTAGATCTGCCCTGGGTGGGGAGGTGAAGGACCCCTGTATTTACTGACCGGGTGACACCATTTAGGGGGGTGACACCAAGGCAAAAAATAGCAAAATATATAGAGAAAAACTTGAAGGAGGGTGGGGGTGCAAATCGAAAGTTTGAAGGGGGGGGGGGTGCAAATCGAAAGTTTGATGGGGGGGGGGGGGTGCAAATCGAAAACTTGAAAGTTTGTCCCGGGGAAGGGTCGCTACGCCTCTGGGGGGTGACACCATTAAGTGCCGCACCGGATGACACCCGACCTCGCTACGCCACTGACTGACCCATCTAACTTTGTGACGTAACTTCTGCGGGAGTGGCCAGCTTTTTAAGACCACGTGACCACGCCGGCAGGTGGCGCTTCAGGAAATGTTCACATTACCGAAGTTTTACGAAAAGAGAAAGGAAAAAGTTGTGACAGGATTGTCAATTTTGTTTCTCTTCCTGGGTAATTTGGGGTCAAATCAAATTTATTGTGAAACATGAAAGATAAAAGGATAATAAAGCTAAAAATTTAAATAACGATGCAAAACTTTAGAAATATTTTCATAAATAAAAAGGGAGTGCATGGCGAAAATTCCTATTATTTTATTTTTAGATGTCCAATGAATGCACGAGGTGTGGACTTAGCTATCGCTCGTGCACGCATGCGCAACGCGTGCTCCCTACTTCCTCTCTCGGATGTCAAAATTTACCAAAAATGGTCGGTTTATAAAATGCTAATTGAAAAATTAAAGGAAAAATCTCGACATTTCTACGAAGGAAGATACAACAAAGCCGAATAGTATAACTTGATATTATAAAAAGTAACAATGCTCAGTTTTTAGGGCTGATTGTGTTATACAGAAAAAGGAGCGACAATCCCGTTTGAAGTAGCTGTTGCTCAATGCTTACAACAAAAGGAGCGGGCAAAAAATGGCTGACAAGGCTAACAGAATTCAATAGGGTCAATGTGCAGGTGGTGACCTTGATAGACGGCCTTCACGGGCGTGCGCAGATCGGCTCAGCTACAAGCGCGGTCACGTGATTGGCTCAGCTGTTGTCACGGTATATGCTTGGCTCAACTGTTGAGCTGTTCCATTGAATAACGCTGAATGGAAATTTCTGGAAGGGAAGCAAATCAAGAATCTTTGAATCTTTGAGCAGGTGGACAAAACATTTTTTTTCTGACCATCGGATTATTTCGTCGAATTTGATGGCTCCCTTGGCATAATTTATCTTTAAGGGTCAGTTTATATTGGAGCCCTAACAGTGGGTCTAGTCTGTTCTGTCTGTTTTAATTATTTAATTTTCTGGCTGTCTCGTCAATTTAGGTCAATCTATTGTGGTCAGTTTAGGCCAATCTATTGTGGTCAGTTTAGGCCAATCTATTGTGGTCAGTTTAGGCCAATCTATTGTGGTCAGTTTAGGCCAATCTATTGTGGTCAGTTTAGGCCAATCTATTGTGGTCAGTTTAGGCCAATCTATTGTGGTCAGTTTAGGCCAATCTATTGTGGTCAGTTTAGGCCAATCTATTGTGGTCAGTTTAGGCCAATCTATTGTGGTCAGTTTAGGCCAATCTATTTTGGTCAGTTTAGGCCAATCTATTGTGGTCAGTTTAGGCCAATCTATTGTGGTCAGTTTAGGCCAATCTATTGTGGTCAGTTTAGGCCAATCTATTGTGGTCAGTTTAGGCCAATCTATTGTGGTCAGTTTAGACCAATCTATTGTGGTCAGTTTAGGCCAATCTATTGTGGTCAGTTTAGGCCAATCTATTGTGGTCAGTTTAGGCCAATCTATTGTGGTCAGTTTAGGCCAATCTATTGTGGTCAGTTTAGGCCAATCTATTGTGGTCAATTTAGGTCAATCTTGTCAGTTTAGGTCAATCTTGTCAGTTTAGGTCAATCTATTGTGGTCAGTTTAGGTCAATCTATTGTGGTCAGTTTAGGCCAATCTATTGTGGTCAGTTTAGGTCAATCTTGTCAGTTTAGGTCAATCTTGTCAGTTTAGGTCAATCTATTGTGGTCAGTTTAGGTCAATCTATTGTGGTCAGTTTAGGTCAATCTATTGTGGTCAGTTTAGGTCAATCTATTGTGGTCAGTTTAGGTCAATCTATTGTGGTCAGTTTAGGTCAGTCTATTGTGGTCAGTTTAGGTCAAGCTATTGTGGTCAGTTTAGATAAAGCTATTGTGGTCAGTTTAGGTCAATCTATTGTGGTCAGTATAGGTAAATCTATTGTGGTCAGTTTAGGTCAATCTTTTGTGGTCAGTTTAGGTCAATCTTTTGTGGTCAGTTTAGGTCAATCTTTTGTGGTCAGTTTAGGTCAATCTTTTGTGGTCAGTTTAGGTCAATCTATTGTGGTTACTTAAAATCAATCTATTGTTTTAGTTTAGAGTTTTGAAAATGACATTGCCATTTTGTATTTCGAATATTTTAATTGCCATGTTATATGTAAACAGCTGCAGTTGCTCACTCAATACAGCTACAGTCAGTGGTCAGTCTCCCGTCTGCTACAGCCACAGTCAGTGGTCAGTCGCCTGCCTATGATAGCCACTTTATGTAATGTAACCATTAATGGTCAGTCTAATGTCAGCGTTTAATTGTCATTTGGTCAGCATTAGATGGTCAGTCTAATTTCAGCATTAGAAGGTCAGTCTAATGTCAGCGTTAGATGGTCAGTTGGCCAGCATGAGATGGCCAGTTGGCCAACATGAGATGGCCAGTTGGCCAACATGAGATGGCCAGGTGGCCAACATGAGATGGCCAGGTGGCCAACATGAGATGGCCAGGTGGCCAACATGAGATGGCCAGTTGGCCAACATGAGATGGCCAGGTGGCCAACATGAGATGGCCAGGTGGCCAACATGAGATGGCCAGGTGGCCAACATGAGATGGCCAGTTGGCCAACATGAGATGGCCAGGTGGCCAACATGAGATGGCCAGTTGGCCAACATGAGATGGCCAGGTGGCCAACATGAGATGGCCAGGTGGCCAACATGAGATGGCCAGGTGGCCAACATGAGATGGCCAGGTGGCCAACATGAGATGGCCAGTTGGCCAACATGAGATGGCCAGTTGGCCAACATGAGATGGCCAGTTGGCCAACATGAGATGGCCAGTTGGCCAACATGAGATGGCCAGTTGGCCAACATGAGATGGCCAGTTGGCCAACATGAGATGGCCAGTTGGCCAACATGAGATGGCCAGTTGGCCAACATGAGATGGCCAGTTGGCCAACATGAAGAACTTGAGGTGAACAAGGGCAGTCACTAGGATTTGTAAAGATACCGTTACATACCCGGGACGGTGACCCAGATACTGATGACGTCACCAGGTTCTTGGAACTAGAGGAACTCATATTTCCACGTAACAATTAGTTCCTGGGCCTGCAGTGGAGCGTGCAGAGGACACAAAGACATTCTTGTACGCTCTGTAGGAAGTGTTGGGTGTTCTCTGGTTTGCTGCGCATGGGGGGGGGTGTTAGGAGGGGTTGAGGGGAGGGGTTGAGGGGTGTTGGGGAGAGTTAAGATGGTGGGGATGGGTGGAGGGGCTGGCGTGCCGTTGTTAGGGGTTAGTTGTTGTCAAGGTAGAAAGACCTGGATGGATTGTGTGCGTGGATGACTGTGTGTGTGGTGGATTGTGTGTGGTGGATTGTGTGTGGATGACTGTGTGTGGTGGATTGTGTGTGTTGGATTGTGTGTGGTGGATTGTGTGCGTGGATGACTGTGTGTGTGTGGATGACTGTGTGTGGTGGATTGTGTGTGTTGGATTGTGTGTGTTGGATTGTGTGTGGTGGATTGTGTGTGGTGGATTGTGTGTGGTGGATTGTGTGTTGGATTGTGTGTGGATGACTGTGTGTGGTGGATTGTGTGTGTTGGATTGTGTGTGTTGGATTGTGTGTGGTGGATTGTGTGTGGTGGATTGTGTGTGGTGGATTGTGTGTTGGATTGTGTGTGGATGACTGTGTGTGGTGGATTGTGTGTGTTGGATTGTGTGTGTTGGATTGTGTGTGGTGGATTGTGTGTGGTGGATTGTGTGTGGTGGATTGTGTGTTGGATTGTGTGTGGTGGATTGTGTGTGTTGGATTGTGTGTGGTGGATTGTGTGTGTTGGATTGTGTGTGGTGGATTGTGTGTGGTGGATTGTGTGTGGTGGATTGTGTGTGGTGGATTGTGTGTTGGATTGTGTGTGGTGGATTGTGTGTGGTGGATTGTGTGTGGTGGATTGTGTGTGGTGGATTGTGTGTGGTGGATTGCGTGGTGGATTGTGTGTGGTGGATTGTGTGTGGTGGATTGTGTGTGGTGGATTGTGTGTGGTGGATTGTGTGTGGTGGATTGTGTGTGGTGGATTGTGTGTGGTGGATTGTGTGTGGTGGATTGTGTGTGGTGGATTGTGTGTGGTGGATTGTGTGTGTTGGATTGTGTGTGTGGTGGATTGTGTGTGGTGGATTTTGTGTGGTGGATTGTGTGTGTGTTGGATTGTGTGTGTGGTGGATTGTGTGTGGTGGATTGTGTGTGGTGGATTGTGTGTGGTGGATTGTGTGTGGTGGATTGTGTGTGGTGGATTGTGTGTGTTGGATTGTGTGTGTGGTGGATTGTGTGTGGTGGATTTTGTGTGGTGGATTGTGTGTGTGTTGGATTGTGTGTGTGGTGGATTGTGTGTGGTGGATTGTGTGTGGTGGATTGTGTGTGTTGGATTGTGTGTGTGGTGGATTGTGTGTGGTGGATTGTGTGTGGTGGACTGTGTATGTGGTGGTTTGTGTGTGTGTTGGATTGTGTGTGTTGGATTGTGTGTGGTGGATTGTGTGTGGTGGATTGTGTGTGGTGGATTGTGTGTGGTGGATTGTGTGTGGTGGATTGTGTGTGGTGGATTGTGTGTGGTGGATTGTGTGTGTGGTGGATTGTGTGTGGTGGATTTTGTGTGGTGGATTGTGTGTGTGTTGGATTGTGTGTGTGGTGGATTGTGTGTGGTGGATTGTGTGTGGTGGATTGTGTGTGTTGGATTGTGTGTGTGGTGGATTGTATGTGGTGGATTGTGTGTGGTGGACTGTGGGTGTAAGACCGTTCGGTGACTTAGACCAATATAGTCGTTGGATCACTTGTTGGTAGAGTCTTGTAAAAGTGAAAAACGGTGATATGGGCATTTGAGTAGGCGATATTTTGAGACGTGGGCATATTTCTATTTCGGGCATTTGGAAACTTTGGAATGCCCAGATGGTCATTCAGACAAGAAATGTGTTGGACGCTTGACCTTGACCTTGTACAACATGCGTCCTTGCCCAGAACCAAATGACCCTTGTGATCACGTGATCACTCATCAGGTCTTTATGTTATTTAGCCGGGGTCCGACCCAAAGTCAAAACTACCACCACCCCTGGGGGAAGGCGGGTTTTTGCAAGCTCCGTGGGTGCAGGTGTAGGAGGAGGTTTGACGGGGGTGGCACTGGTGGGGGTGGCACTGGTGGGGGTTGCGCTGGTGGAGGTGGCACTGGTGGGGGTGGCACTGGTGGAGGTGGCACTGGTGGGGGGGGTGGCACTGATGGGGGGTGGCACTGGTGGGGGTGGCACTGGTGGGGGTGGCACTGGTGGGGGTGGCACTGGTGGGGGTGGCACTTTTGGGGGGTGGCACTGGTGGGGGTGGCACTGGTGGGGGTTGCGCTGGTGGAGGTGGCACTGGTGGGGGTGGCACTGGTGGAGGTGGCACTGGTGGGGGTGGCACTGGTGGAGGTGGCACTGGTGGGTGGGGGGGTGGCACTGATGGGGGGTGGCACTGGTGGGGGTGGCACTGGTGGGGGTGGCACTGGTGGGGGTGGCACTGGTGGGGGTGGCACTTTTGGGGGGTGGCACTGGTGGGGGTGGCACTTTTGGGGGGTGGCACTGGTGGGGGTGGCCCTGAGTTATCAACGAATCCCTTGTTGTGTTTTTATCATTTAAATAAATAAACAAACAGCAAATTTTACCGGGGGAATCACCCAGAATTATACTTGGGAAACACGACTTAAATCAGTTTTTCCACATCCCACACATTCCACACAACCCACACCAAATATTTCCGTCAGTGGGTAGATCTCAAGGATACGTTTTTTATGTGATTTAAATATTTTTGAAGACTTGCTGGCGGCAAGAAAGAATCTGACACGCCCTCATGCTATCCGGGAATAAACAAAGTGTTACGTCATCATGATGGATAGAGAACACCCAGCGATCCCTAATCACAATCAAGCGTACCCGACTGTTAACTTGTGACTTGCGTGGAAATGAAACCCGCTCGACCTTCACCCCGCTAGGTGAAAGGTCACAAATACAGCTCTTGAGATGGCGACGTACAATACACGGTAATTATTTTTTGCTGCGATTAAGGACGTTTTGTTGAATGTCTAAGAAGTCTTCACTGTCCCAAAAACTCAAGTGTTTTTTTTTTACTTCTCAGATGTCCTCTACCAATTTGGTCCTTGTCCTGTTGTCCCCTCTTCAAACATCCTGTTGTCCCACATACCCAAATTTGGCTTTTTATTCCTAAAATTAAAAAAAAAAAAACAACGCTTTCCTGTTTTTAAAGTTTACAAAACTGTCGTTCTCTTGTTTTTAAAGTTGTAAAAAATACCCGACCGGTCGATTCAATTCCGAGAACCAGAGTTATGTTGGCCTAAATATTTTGACAAAGATTTCGTTGAACGTCAGGTCGCACTTAAGATGTCCCTTAATGTAAAACAAAGGCACTGATTGGAAAACAAAAGTCACGTGATTACCTAACCGTGTAAATAAAACAAGACATGCTGCCCAATTATTTTTTTTGAAAATATAGCCTTTTATTTAAAATACCCTGCTTCTCGTGTTTCTGATAAAGTAGAAGAAAAACCATACAATTCAGAAAAAAAATTAACTCACACAAAAAAACTAAAACTTTCATTCTGTCTATGGTGTGAAAAAAAAAACCACCCCATAAATAAACCACCTTTCACATTGACCTGTAGCTTCCCACCTGCCTTGTACCTGCCTAATATGACGTCACCATCATAAAACAGGTCATCGTCCGTCTGTTTACTTACACCGTTAGCCATGTTAAATTCGTGACCTCTCACACGCCCGCAGGTTGACCAGTACCAAAACAACAGAGCAGATGTTTGATTGGTTGAGGATTGATTGCTGTCTGCATCTAGCAACCTGGGGGCGGGTAACGGAGATATCGTGCGGACATGCCGGTTCCGCTTGGGTGGGTTTGTGGTTTAAGTGTTTGGGGAAGTCAATTGTACTGGGGTGTTGAGATCTTATCGCTCGAGATCTTGTTACTTGAGATTTCTCTTTTCTCTCCAAAGATCTTCTTACAATAGATCTTCTTACTATAGATCTTTTTACTCTAGATCTTACCAGATCATCTTATTATAGATCTTATTATTATAGATGCTCTTGCTATATATCTTCTTACTATAGATCTTTTTTTACTATAGATCTTCTTATTTATTATAAATTATCTCTCAATAGACTTTTTAAAGACTTTTTATCTTTAAACCTCTCTATATAAAGACATTTTGTATTAATTAGACTATTTAGACTTTTTATGTAAATGGACCCGAGCGAGAAAGTATTCGAGAGGCCCATTAAATAATTTAAAAATCATGCACGGTGTAGTTACAATTAAAATAGTTATAAAATCCTGTCTGTGTGGGTTTTTTCGGACTTTACTAAAGATTGGATGTATTTCATGTTTTTAATATTTTCGGTAACTAAATACAATTTTTTTTTTAAGAAAAGCAAAAACAATTTGGTTTTCACGTGTAAAGGCGACATAAACAATGGCATCCTGCTATTCGATAAGCTGCCATAAATTTTATTGTACAAATTGTAAGCGAAAAAAAAATGACAACTAGGTCATAGGGTTTAAATTTACATTGTTATTTAAAAACATTATCTGCAATGTTTTGTAAACAAATAATTATCGATCACTGAGTTCCTGTACAGCCAATCAATATTTGTTTTACGAAAGTGAAATATCCGGTTATAACGTAGTCTTGATGAAAATAAATAGAAATGTAGCTTTAAACACAACCAAGTATTTTTAAGTTCTGAATTATTTCTGAATTAATTTTAGGCTCAAGCTTTTATTTTTTATTATTTTTACGGTCGTTTTGTTTGCTAAATCTTAAAAAAGCACGCTTTTATTCCATGTCAACAACATGATGGAAGATTCTCGTCAACTCGCTCGCCTCCATTAAACAGTAAATCAAAGTTTACTTTTTATTTAAATCTCTTCCATTCTTTATTAATAAAATTGACAAATCTCGAGATATCTAGTTAGATTTAAAATTACATATTCTTGCAATATCGTTGAAAATGAATTCACCAGTAAAAGTGTAGAGAAATCACTGTAAAAGAAGTCGATTAATCTTGAGTTACCATATTCGAGTACAAACACAGTTAAGTACAGTGTTTCTTCCAGACTTTTTTCTCCGGGGGGGGGGGGCACTTGAAATTTTTTTTGGGGGGGGGGGGGCGGTAGACTTTCTTCGGGGGGGGGGGGGGGGGCGGACACTGTTAAAAGTATATATTTTCTATATAAATTATATAAATTTCTTTTCGTTCGGGGGGGGGGGGGTGGGGGTGGTGGTAGAATTATTTTTGGGGGGGGGGGGGCACACCCCCCTCACCCGAAGAGATACCCGGAAGAAACTCTGGTTACGTACACGTGTAATGAGACAGTTCTTAAGATACTAAATGTGAAGAGTTGGGAGCAAAACACAATGAAAACATCGCCACTGATGAGGGAAGATATAAGCGGATGGTGGTTATGGTTAGTTTTCTGACAGAAACAGGTCAACTCTACTTCATGGACCGCAAGTCAAACACCATTTCAATTCTTAAAGTCCTCGATGCAGGTGAAGTAGAGTTCACCTGTTTCTGTGATCTCGACATTTGTTGAGATTGTGTGGTCAGCACTATGTCCAGCTGCCTTTACTTTCCATCAGCTGGGTGGACTCAGGGAGTCAGGTACCCATTAGAGCTGGGTGGACTCAGGACGGCCTACTGACGTAAGCCCGGTATCCGATTGGATTAGCAGTCGAGCGCGCTACCGTTTGACCACGCCTTTCTTATCCAGGTTGAAAATGGTAACAGTTTTGTTACTCGGCCATTTGTAATATGGACGGTCGGCTGCGTGTCTAGTTGTAATTTGGACGGTCGTCTGGATGTCTAGTTGTAATTTGAACGGTCAGCTGGAAGTCTAGGTCTAAGGTTAGAATACAAAATTTAATAAGGGTCTGACAATCAGCAGTTGTTTGTATTCGTGTTTACAGTGCTTGTGTTTGTGTTTAATGTTTGTGTCTATTTGTGTGTATTTGTGTGTGTGTGTGTGAGTGTGTGTGTTTATTATATCGTGATTTGTTTTGTTTTTTAATTTTATTTATGTGCTATAAATAGATGTGTTTTCCCACAATATTTCCATTCAAGTTACTGGATCCGATGTTTCTATTTATAGCAATCGTGACATGATTCACTGCGTAAATCTAGCGTACAGTGGGGGTGGGGGGCACGGGATTCCACGTGAATAAAGGGGTGGGGTGGGGGTGTCTAAACAACAAGCCATATGGATGACAGAAAAGGACATCATTTCGTAATAGTCGGCGTACGATACACGCATACAATACGAGCCGGTAAAGAGGAAATGAAACTCAAGTAGACCACAAACGTAGGGTGGGGGGTGGGGTGGGGGGAAGATGCCACGTGGGTAGACCCAGGGTTACAGAGGTCACGTGGGTAGACCCGGGGTTACAGAGGTCACGTGGGTAGACCCGGGGGTTACAGAGGTCACGTGGGTAGACCCGGGGGTTACAGAGGTCACGTGGGTAGACCCGGGGGTTACAGAGGTCACGTGAGTAGACCCGGGGTTACAGAGGTCACGTGGGTAGACCCGGGGGTTACAGAGGTCACGTGGGTAGACCCGGGGGTTACAGTTTAGGACTGACGCCTGGGGTCACGATCTGCACACAGACTGTTTGGTGTCATTAGCTGACCTTATAGGTGACCTTACAGGTGACCTTACAGGTGACCTTACAGGTGACCTTACAGATGACCTTACATGTGACCTTACAGGTGACCTTACAGGTGACCTTACAGGTGACCTTACAGGTGACCTTACAGATGACCTTACATGTGACCTTACAGATGACCTTACAGGCGACCTTACAGGCGATGACCCTACAGGTGACCTTAAAGATGAATCCACCCAGCTCTCATGGGCACCTGACTCGTGTCAGGGAAAGTATAGGCGGCTGGTCAAATTGCTGACCAATTAACCCATCATATGCCGAGGTCACAGAAACTCGTGAAGTCTACTTCACCTGCCCCATGGACCGTCAGGTTAAAAAGTGTAACTTTTCAAGTCTGTGGTGACGTGGACTATTAAATACACCAAGTTACAAATCTATTGGCCGTCCACCAACCCTACCATCAACTGACCGTCCACTACTTCCCATAGAAACCACGTGACAATGAGTGGGATCAAGTACAGGCCAACCTACGAGTTTTTTTAGCCGGCTAATATTTTCTAACTACCACCATAAAACCTCGCTCAGTTTAAAAAAAATAATAACTTTAAATTAGTTTCGTGAGAAAACGTGAGTTTGAATTTTTATTTTTAAAGTTTTGAAATTTAACAAACGTGAAGATACTTAATTTATAATTAGGTCTGGGGTATTTGATGTCGTCTGGAAGTAAATCAGCCACAACAAAAACAGCACGACCAACATTCATCAAACTTTTTGTTTTGTTGGATGGTGGTGGACAGGGCCGTCTGCCTTCATGCTCGACCTGGGGTCGGTTTTTTCTGGGGTCGGTGTGTTCTGGGGTCGGTGTGTTCTGGGGTCGGTGTGTTCTGGGGTCGGTGTGTTCTGGGGTCGGTGTGTTCTGGGGTCGGTGTGTTCTGGGGTCGGTGTGTTCTGGGGTCTGTGTGTTCTGGGGTCTGTGTGTTCTGGGGTCGGTGTGTTCTGGGGTCTGTGTGTTCTGGGGTCTGTGTGTTCTGGGGTCGGTGTGTTCTGGGGTCGGTGTTTTCTGGGGTCGGTGTGTTCTGGGGTCTGTGTGTTCTGGGGTCGGTGGGTTCTGGGGTCGGTGTGTTCTGGGTTCAATTGTTGTTGAGTTGTTGTCACGATTTGTTGGGTTTTTTACTTTGCTTTAAAATCATAAAAGTCAACCAAGCGTATCAAGTTATTTTGTAAGGCAACCACAATCTTGGTCCTTGTATGACAACCACAATCTTGGTCCTATGACAACCACAATTTTGGTCCTTGTATGACAACCACAATCTTGGTTCTTGTATGACAACCACAATCTTAGTCCTTGTATGACAAACACAATCTTGGTCCTATGCCAACCACAATCTTGGTCCTTCTATGAAAACCACAATCTTAGTCCTTGTATGACAACCACAATCTTGGTCCTTGTATGACAACCACAATCTTGGTCCTGTGACAACCACAATCTTGGTCCTATGACAACCACAATCTTGGACCTTGTATGACAACCACAATCTTAGTCCTTGTATGACAACCACAATCTTGGTCCTATGGCAACCACAATCTTGGTCCTTGTATAACAACCACAATCTTGGTCTTTGTATGACAACCACAATCTTGGTCCTATGACAACCACAATCTTGGTCCTTGTATAACAACCACAATCTTGGTCCTATGACAACCACAATCTTGGTCCTATGACAACCACAATCTTGTTCCTTGTATAACAACCACAATCTTGGTCCTATGACAACCACAACATTGGTCGTATGACAACCAAATCTTGGTCCTATGACAACCACAATCTTGGTCCTTGTATAACAACCACAATCTTGGTCCTATGACAACCACAATATTGGTCGTATGACAACCAAATCTTTGTCCTATGACAACCACAATTTTGGTCCTTGTATGACAACCACAATCTTGGTCCTATGACAACCACAATCTTGGTCCTATGACAACCACAATCTTGGTCCCTGTATGACAACCACAATTTTGGTCCTTGTAAGGCAACCACAATCTTGGTCCTATGACAACCACAATCTTGGTCCTAT